CGAGTTAATGGGTGCAGCACACCAACATGGCACATGTGTACATATGTAACAAACCTGCATGTTGTGCACATGTACCCTAGAACTTAAAGTATAATTAAAAAAAAAAAGAAAAAAAGAAACATTTAACTACATTAAATGAAAATGTGACTTGACAAGATTTCTAGATGTAGCAAAAGCAGTCCTTAGAGGGAAATTTATAGCATTGGATGCAATACATTAAAAATCACAAGATCTAAAATCAGTAATATCATGTTTCAATTAGGAAACTGTAGAAAATAAAGGAAAGCAATGTAAAGCAAGTAGAAGTAATAAACAACATCACGGAAGTCAATAAAATTAAAACACTGAAATCATCAGAAAATCAATAAAAACAAAAGCTGGTTCTTTGAGATGCTCGTTACAATGAATGAACTTCTATGCAGGCTAACCAAGGAAAAGAAGATAACACAAACGACCAATTTCAGAAATAAAAGAGGAGCCATTTCTACTGAACTGTTGGGCATTAAAAGGATAATCAAGGAATATTATAAACAATTCTGTGACCGCAGTTTGGTAACTTCAGTGCAATGTATCAAGTCCTTGAAAGACAATCTTCCCAAGGTCACACTAGAATCCTAGATAATTTGAATACACTTATTTCTATTAAATAAGTTGAATTCATATTAAGAGCATTCTGAAAAAGAAAGCACCAGACCCAGATGGTTTCCTCTCGTGAAATCTAACAAATTCTTCAACAGGTGAATACAAAGACAAAAATCCATTTAATGCAATATTATTTGGTGATTTATTGTGCCATTTTTTGCTATTAAGGCATAAAAAAGACAGGAAGGAAGCTTAAGTATACATCAATTTAGTGAACTAAATTCATCTGAAAAAACTACATAATATATGATTCCAACTCTATGACATTCTGGAAAAGGCAAAACTGAAGTGACAGTAAAAATATTAATAGTTGCCAAGGTTTCTGCAGAGAAAGGACAGAGATTAATGAGAAGAGGGGATTTTTAGGAGGTGAACATGTTCTTTATGAGACTGTAAGGATGAACATAATGTTATAAATAGTTCAAACTTCATATATATGTATAACAGAAAGAAAGAACATTATGCAAATGATAGACTTCAGATAATAATGTGTCAATATTTTCTCATTATTAGCAAATGTATTACAGTAATGTAAGATGTTAATAATAGGTGAAATTAGGAAGTGAGGGTGAGGAGACAGAATAATATGGGAACTTCATGTATTATATGCTTCCTTTTTTTTTTTTTTTTTTTTTTGAGACAGAGTTTCACTCTTGTTGCCCAGGCTGGATTGCAATGGTGTGATCTTGGCTGGCTGCAATCTCCACCTCCCAGGTTCAAGTGATTCTCCTGCTTCAGCCTCCTGAGTAGCTGGGATTACAGGCACCCACCACCACACCCGGCTAATATTTTTTTGTATTTTTAGTAGAGATGGGGTTTCACCATGTAGGCCAGCCTGGTCTCCTACTCCCGGCCTCAGATAATCTGCCCGCCTTGGCCTCCTAAAGTGCTGGGATTATAAGTGTGACCCACCACGCCTGGCCATATGCTCAGTTTTTATGTCAATTTAAAACTCTCTAAAGAAATATATTAATTGAAAAATAATAATATAGCACCACTCTTTCAGGGAGATCTATGCTAATGTTTAACAACCAGGTAAATTCTAGACATTAGCTTGAAACATTGTCTGTCATGAAACATGAACAAAATTTGACTTTTAAGTGGATATTTACTTTTGAGGTTGTAGTAATACTTACTGACTAGGCAAATGAGAATTCTGACACATTAAAAAATATGGCTTAATCTCTTCATAGTTTCCTCTTATATATGGGACTCTGAATACTCCCTACAATTGCGATTCTTAAATCAACTTAATTAATGAACTTCCACAATACCTTCTTGTGGGTACATCTTCTTCTGTACCCGGAAGCCATGATGCCTCCGACGCTGGATGGTGTACACGGCGTATCTTCTTAAAACCTCTGTGAGAGAAGATGCTGGTTAATGCATTTACAATAGAGAGGGCTGTTGACATCTTGCTGACAGAAGACTAGAGGGAAAATAGTGATAATCAGTTTTAAGTTTAAACTTATGATCCTGTTCTTTACAGGCTTCCAAGCAGAGCCTGCTGAATCAAAGTGATTCAGTGAGCACTCAACACCCCTATCAGACAGACCATGGGCAGTGCCTTCATGGAGAGGAGAACACAGCAGGATGACTGCGAGTGCAGGGCTGGTGCAGAGTGGGGGCCCGGATTCAAATTCCACTAAGCCATGTGGACCTGGCAAGCTCATGTCATCCCTCTGCCCTCAGTCCTCTGCACTGTCATAATGAAATTTTAGCAATACTTTTTAGGCCCTACTTCTTAGTATCACAGTACAGGGTTAAAAAGCCACTAAATACAGGAAAACCTTAAGAGAGGACTGGTACTTCAGTAGTGTTCTCTAAGTGTTTACTACATGCCAGGAGGAATAAGCTGGACACTTAGTAGTGGCTGAATATGGAGAGGGTGCTCGGATGGCTCCGGGGCAGTGGCGCATGGTTTCCTGTTCGGCTTTTCCGTGGGCATGATGCCTTATGGCTTATGGAGAACATCAGCCCTGCAGGGAGGGCAGAGGAGGGGCTGTGGCTGAGATTTTACACTTGAGGGTGCTGACATTCAGAGATGAAAAGTGACGAGTAGAATCCCAACCCCAATGAGTGAAGGATCTGAGATGGGAAATGTATTTGGTTCCCTAGAGACAGAGATTCCTGACCAACTGACACCTTTACATCACGCCCTCTGCCAGAGACCCAAGAGACCCCCTCACTGTCTTTCTCCAGTCCTCCTAGCCCGAGGTGTGTGGGTGGACAAAGGTGATGCTCTGGAGGAGATGCCTGAGATAAGGACAGGTCCTTAATGATAAAGAATTCTCCTTCCTCTTTCAGATCCTTGACCTCCCCAAGATGACAGTTTATTTTAAAGGCTGTCATCTTTGTGGCCTTCCTCCCCTCTCCCTTCACCCTGTCAGCTGCCTCTCAGTGACTGTCTCCTCCAGTGACTACACTGAGGGACCAGGGTCTGCTTGCCTCCCAAGGCTGCTCAGACCTTCTGACATTGCAAAATGATTGTCAAAAGATGGGTCTGCAAAGAGTAACTTCCCTTCCACGGATCAAACCTGAATATGCAAGCTACTGTGAATTAACTGGAAAAGTGGCCATGTGGCTGGTGCTTTGGTGGTTTAATGAATTAAGTCTGCCACCTCCACTGCCTCCTTGACTATTGATCAGAGCCGCCTGCAATAAGGTCGGGCTGAGAATGGGCAGTGGCTGCGCCAGCTCTGGGTGTGCCTTCTCCACTCATTCTTTCCACATCCAAATTCAGTTTCTGATTTACACACTCCACATCCATCCCTAGACCTTGCTGTGGCAGGGGACAGAGTCCTGTCTCTTCTTAGGGAGACCTCTCCATAGCCACAGGACCTTCTCTGATGTTCACCCAAGTTCTGTTTTCCTCTGTCACCAAATGTCCCTTGCATTAACCCAATGTCCCTCTCTTCTCCCAACCCTTTAACAATGATCTCAGAAAGCCACTGATTCTCTCCCCGTGAACCCCAGTGAAATCCCCCCAAAAAATCCTGTTTTTCTTCCTTTCTGAAAAAAAGTCTGATGCTAGATTGCTAATGTTTGTTTTCAGGGTTTGACTTCTACCTTCAGAAAAATGTTTCTGTCCTTCCCCTTTTCTGTAATGTCTGTTATTGCAGGAGTGCAATCAAGATTCTCTGGAAATAATCAGGCAGCAAGGCTGCATTTACTCTGTGTGTTCTCTGGAATTGTGTTCGCAAGATTGGTGCTATGTTTATTTTACTGTTTGGTAGAAATAATATGAAGCCACATGGTCCTGATATTTGCCTTGTGAGTTTTAAAGATTCTTATATTTTAGTTGTCTTTTTCAAAACTCTAGGTATTTTTTAATGTACAGCTTGATGTTTTCTTCTAGATACTATAAACATATGTATTACCCACATTATCTATTTCTCTGTATACTTCTGTGACCCCCTGCTTGCTCTCAGAGACATCCTAAATCCAGAAAATGGAGACCTCATTCTCCTTTCTCAGAGCCTTCTATGTGACTTAGAGACTACCATGTCCCTGGCTTTAAGACTAACTCCATATCACAGAGAGGCAACTTAGATCTTTCTTCCCAGAAGTCCAGTAGTCTTCAGAGGACCCCCCATTCTTACACAACTAGTTTATCCAGGTCTCAGGCAAAAGCCCCCAGTATTTTGTAAAATTTGAGCTATCACAACTTTACAAGCTTTTATGTTATTACAAAGCTTTGTCCTCTTTTAGTAAGGATTTTAGCAACAGTGACTGAATTAATAAAAAAGAGAAGGAACTACTGGAAGAAAGCATGGAAAGAATGCATGAGGTAAAATTCAACCTAGAATGACCAGTCTCACTCACTAACCTCACCATTGTCTTATGGGTTCAATGGACCTGTGCAATCCTTTGCTCTGTTCCCTCCATCACCTTCCTGTGTAATTGTCCTCCACAACGCACATAATAGGAACATGGCACAGGGGAGTTAATCATCTCTTTTATCCTCCCCTTCAGGCTCACAAGTAAGTTTATAGTAAAGGCCTTTTCAAATGACTGCTTTAACTGCTGCTATGGCCTGTCCCATGTATGATCAGTTGAATCTCTCATGTGACTTTAAGCAACCCTTTATTGAGAGACAAGATTCAATACTAGGGACAATATTCTAATGTAGTAAATCATTGATTTTATGTTACGAAGATCGTCAGTTATTAAAAATGTGTAAATAATGAAGCCCAGCCTTATTCTTCAATGCTGTGTGTGTAAATCCACTGAGCGTGCTGACCCCCATGCCTGCACCCACCTGCTAACACAGGGAGGGCCCATCCAGAAGGGAGGTTCAACTCCAGCACTGACGCTCTCCCCGCCAGCTTCATAAGAGAGTTGCCACAAGGATGACGGATACCCGGATAATAGCCAAGTGGTAATTTGAGTACTTAATAGTCATGATCCCTAAATTATGTAGCTCAGAGGGCTTGTGGTGATAACTCTGTCCAAGACTCTAAAGCATTTCCCCAATTCTTATTGGACTTGAGCCGTGTCTTGAGGAGACACCCAGCTGTGACACACAGGCACCATATTGTCCTACTTAGTGCCTCCCTTAGTGTTTTAGAACCTGTGACTTGATCAGAAACATGGGCTTTCTATGTCTGTTTCACACTAAGGACTATGTGACACCTGCAGGGAGATGCCTACATAGCTACCTGGATTCTGAGATCACTGAGGCTCTCTTATGTGAGGGATGGTGTTTGGGATCTCTGCAGGCTTGCATAATTCCAGGCATAGAGGGTGCTGGAGCTCCCTTGCATGGTGAATAGTGATCCCTTCACTGGCTGATAAATAGAGGTTGTAGTTCAGGCCTTCAACATTAGCACCGTACAAGTAAACATCTTGGCTCCTCACTTCGTAGTAAGTGAGCCAGGGCACATTTATTTATGTGGCTTAGTTTCTCCATCTGGTATTGTGGATTCAATAAACAAGCTCACAGCATATGGGCATGAGGAGGTTTGAGCTAATGTAAGTAAAGTGTGTGGTCTGATTTGTTAAATTAAGAAAAATGGCACTGAGAGTTGTGCTGGGTAAACACAACATTTTTTTCCTAGGGGGAACACACAGAGACACACATTACAAGCAAATCATGCAGACTTGCACATAGACCACCCCACCCCCCCACACTAATACACACACTCCCACACAACCTAATGTGAACGTCACCTAATGTGAACACCACCTAATGTGAACATGTTCCCAGGAACTATACATAGATAAAAAGTGTTTGTCACCTGGGAAATCAGTTTCTTTTACTATACCCCCCCATCCTCATTCCCACCAAGCGTCTTAGATCGTGGAGGCTCTCCAGACAAAAGCCAGCAGTTAGGCTCCACATTTCCTATAGAATCTTTTTCTCACAGCCAGTGAGCGATTCCAGAATACATACCATTGAATGTGCTCCCTGAAGTCACCTGTAATTAGAGAAGGAAAACACTCTGAGAATCAGGCCATGCTATGGATGGCTCGCACAGGTCTTTTGCTCACTTGGAAACTCTGGGTAACCAAGATTGGAAAGAACATTCAAATCAAAAGCCCCAACTCTAGAGTAGAGTTCCTGTAGGAAAGCACAGGAGTTTTCTTGAAGAATGTTTCTGTCTAGATAATTTTTGGGTGGCAATTGCAGAATTCTTATCTAAAGTGGAAAGCTTGTTCCTGAAGAAAACATCCCTTAACATGCAGTGTAGTTTCTGACACTGCCAATGTTGTACGTCCTCTGGAATCAGGTGTCAGTTGGTAAGATACACCTCCTCCATTCCCAAGGAAATATTATCTAACATCTATAATGTACTGGATAATTTTCCCATAGCTGATATCAACTGAAAAATAAGGGAACCAAGAAAACAACATTTACATCTTAGGCAAAGACAGGCTACTTTACCGTGGTGGTAGAGTAGGGCTTCCTTCTCGCCCACTTTCTGGAAGGCTCAAAGGAGTCACCTAGGGGATGTGGAAGGACACAGCATGGCTGTCAGTTCATGGTGGTGCTACTCATGAATGACTCAGGGACTAGAACTTAGGGATGTGCCTGGTTAACAAGCATGGAATAAGCTTCTCCTGGACCATCCTCTTTATGGACCAAGGAAGGCAAAGAAAGAGCAGAAAGGAAATGAGAGTAGAGCCCTTGGCTTTCCAGGTAGTGGCAAATGAAAACAACAAGAAATAATCAAGCTCAAAATGAAAAAATACTAAAATACATGCTAGGATTCAACCACAGCATCCTGTCACTTCTTCAGACCCTTTAAAAGCCCAGCAGGACAGCCACTACCTTCTTGACTTCTACCAAGTCCCTTTCAACCTCCACAGACCCATATACACTGCTACTGAATTTATCTTGGAGGGTATAGGGTTCTGCCCTTGTTTATGTGTGAAGTTTTCTAAAACTAGATTTAATACCATGCACCAGCATTAATTTTATTTATTTATTGTCTCAGTTATAAAAATAATTGGCCAGGCATGGTGGCTCACACCTGTAATCCCAGCACTTTGGGAGGCCGAGGTGAGCAGATCATTTGAGGTCAGGAGTTTGAGTCCAGCCTGACAAACATGGTGAAAACCCATCTCTACTTAAAAAAAAAAAAAAAATTAGCCAGGCATGGTGGCATGTGCCTGTAGTCCCAGCTACTTGGGAGGCTGAGGCAGGAGAATCCCTTGAACTGGGAGGCAGGGGTTGCAGTGAGCCAAGATCATGCCACTGCACTCCAGCCTGGGTGAGCAGAGTGAGACCCTCAAAAACAAAACAAAACAGGCTGGGCACGGTGGCTCACGCCATGTAATCCCAGCACTTTGGGAGGCTGAGGCAGGCAGATCATGAGGTCAGAAGATGGAGACCATCTTGGCTAACACAGTGAGAATCCCGTCTCTACTAAAAACACAAAAATTAGCTGGGTGTGGTGCACACAGTTGTAATCCCAGCTACTCAGGAGGGCTGAGGGAGGAGAATTGCTTGAACCAGGAGGCAGATGTTGCAGTGAGCCCAGATGTGCCACTGGCAATCCAGCCTGGGCAACAGAGCAAGACTCTGTCTCAAAAAAAAGTCCCTAAAATAATCAATTTATAAAGATTAGAAAATTACTGAAATTATTAATTTTAAAATAATCACTATAAACATACATTTTCCATTTAGTCTTCCTTTGCCTTGTGTCAGCAGTCATCATGTGAGGGGCTGCCTATGTTCAGCCCAGGCAACCCACAGCGAGAGAGGGCATAGCAGGGAGATGGCCCTGGTGAGCGCTGAGGCTCTTCAAACCAGCTGCCAAGGGAGTTGCAATCAGGGTGATACAGGAGGCTAATTATTTAGTGGTAGTTTGTGTTCTTACTTGTCTTGTCCCCAGGTTGTGTAGCTCACAGACTTTATTATTTTTTTTTTTTAACATTTCTATAGGGGTCATTTGAAGTTCATAATGCCATCAAATATCAATCAAGGGTCTTTCCATTATTTACCGGCTTTGGGATATGTGCTGAGCAGTGGCCGAGCACTGAAAGAATGTGACTGGTTGTCCCAAGTGTTGTCCTCCAACTCAAAATCCTCAACCAGTTCAAAAGCATTTGGGCTTTTACATGCCTTTCACATAAAGACTATGACACAGCTAAACTATTCATGTACTAATACCTGCCCTGAGCTATGTAACCATGGACACCATCCCATAATGTGGCTAGCGTGTAGGAACTCTGCAGGCTCAGATCATTCCACACATACACGCAGATGTTGGAACTCCCTTGCACAGTGACTCACGATCCCACGGCTGAGTGCTGAAGGCAGGTCAGTAGTTCAGAGCCGCAGCACTGGGGCCATATGCTTGGGTTCCCATCTCGGCTCTTTTGCTGAGGGGCTCATAAGCTTGGGCACATTCATCTCTGTCTTTTTCTGCCCAGCGAAAGGTGATAGTAAATCAATCATGCCATATGTCTGTGGTGATGGCCAAATGATTCGATGTAGGTAAAGTGTACACTGTAAGTGCTCATGAGGCTTAATTATCAGTGAAATGACTTGCTTTAGATTTCACAGCTTAATAAGGCTCAGAGGCCCATTCAAACCCAGGATTCTGAACTCCCAAGCCATTGTTCTATGACATACACCTGCTTGGCCAAAACCAACCACTTTATCACAATTCAGACTCAGTTTTGAAAGAAGCAGATAAAGTTGTCAAAAGTGCTGTGTCTGCCTCAGCTCACACTCAGTGCCCACCACACAAAGGGCACCACTGTCTGCCACAATGGCCCAGTGGCCTGGCTGGCACAGACAGCGGCACTTAGGACCAAGGGCAAGAGATCTCCAATCCCACCACTGTGGTGAGAGGGCATCACAGACATTCCAGGGTGAAGGCACAATCCACAGTGTGGGGTCCAGCTGCCACCATGCAGACAGCTGTGCTTTTACATGTACAGGAAGGTCATTGAAGGCTCAGTGTTTTATTTCAAAAACTGAATCCCAAGCCCACATATTATTATTCTGTGCTTCTTAAAATAAGTTATGAGAAGGGAAATAGGATACCCCCAAATATAGCCAATAGTGAGAATTTCAAATTGAAGGGGGGCACAACTGATATGTTTAGGACAGAGATTCCATTCTGTTTTTTTCTTTTTCAACTTTTATGTTAGATTCAGGGTGTGCACGTGCAGGTTTTTTCCCTGGGTATATTGTGTGCTGCTGAGGATTGGAGTATTAATGATTCCAACCCCCAGGTACTGAACACAGTACTCAGCGGTTTTTCAGCCTTTTCCTTCCTCCCTCCCACTCCTAGCAGTCCCTAGTGTCTATTGTTACTGCCTTCATGTCCATGGGTACTGAGAGTTTAGCTCCTACTTATGAGAATATGAGGCATTTGTTTTCTGTTACTATGTTAGTTCACTTAGTGGCTTCCAGCTCTAGCCATTTTCCCTCAAAGAACATCATTTCATTCTATTGTGGCTGCATAGTATTCCATGGTCTATATGTACCACATTTTTATCCAGTCCACTGTTGATGGGCACCTAGGTTGATCCCATGTCTTTGCTATTGTGAATAGTGTTGCAATAAACATACGAGTGCATATGTCTTTGGTGGAATGACTTGTTTTCTTTTGGATACATGTTCAGTAATGGATTGCTGGGTTGAATGTTAGTTCTGTTTTATGTTCTTTGAGAAATCTCCAAACTGCTTTCCACAGCGGCTGAACTAACTTACATTCCCACCAACAGTGTATAAGCATTCCCTTTTTGCCTTAAAGTTGCCAGTATCTGCTATTTTTTTGACTTTCTTTTTTTCTTTTTTCTTTTTTCTTTTTTGAGACAGAGTCCCCGACTCTGTTGGCCCAGGCTGGGGAGTGCTGTGCATGATCTCAGCTCACTGCAAGCTCTGCCTCCCGGGTTTCACCGCCATTCTCCTACCTCCACCCTCCAAGTAGCTGGGACTAACAGGCACCCACCACCACGCCCGGCCAATTTTTGTATTTTTAGTAGAGGATGGAGTTTCACTGTGTTAGCAGGATGGTCTTGATCTCCTGACCTCATGAGCCGCTCACCTCGGCTCCCCAAAGTGCTGGGATTACAGGCATCGAGCCACGCGCCACCAGCCTGACTTTTTAAAAAATAGTCATTTCTGACGGTGTGAGATAAATATCCTCATTGTCATTTTGATTGCATATCCTCTCGTGACTTAGTGATGATGAGCGCATTTTTTTCATATGTTGTTGACTGGGCATCTATGTCTTTCTTTTTTTTTTTTTTTTTTGTTCCTTCTGAGACAGAGTCTCGTGTCTGTCACCCAGGCTGGAGTGCCAGTGGCTGGATTCTCAGCTCACCTGCAAGCTCCGGCCTCCCGGGTTCACACACATTCTTTCTGGCCGTCAGCCTCCCGAGCAGCTGGACTCACAGGCGCCTTGCCACCGTCGACCCGGCGCTAGTTTTTTTTAATTTTGTTTTATTTTTTATTAGAGACGGGTGTTTCACCTAGTGTTTAGGCCAGGAGTAGTCTCGAATCTCCTGAGCCGCATTCGCTGATCCACCCTTTCATGTCGGCCTCCCAAAGTGCTGGGATTAGCACGGCTTAGCCACCGCACCCCGGCCCCTATGTCTTCTTTTTGAGAATGTTATTTATGGGCTTCTTGGCCCATTTTTAAATGGGCGTTATTCCATTTTGTTTTGCTTGTGGAATTAAGTTGCGCTTAATAGATTCTGGATATTAGCGCCTTTGTTTGTATGATGCTTGTGTGAAGTAATTCCCCCCCATTCTGTTAGGTTTGTCTGTTAACTCCTGTTGGTTTCTTTTTGCTGTGTGGCAGCTCTCTAGTTTAATTACGCGTCTCACTTGTCAACCTTTTGCTTTGGTGCAATTTCTTTTGAAGCTTAACCCGCATGAATTATTTTCCCATAAGCCATAAAACCCCAGAATCGTCTTTTTCAAGTTTTTTCTCTAAGGATTATTGTAGTTGAGATCTTAAATTAAATCTTTAATCAACCTGGAGTTAATTTTTGTATACAGTGAAAAATATGTGTCGCAGTTTGTTTGTTTGTTGGTTGTGTTGTGTTTTTTGAGAGGGAGTTTCTTGCCCTGTCACCAAGGCCTGGAGGTGTGGTGCACCGATCTCGGCTGCATGGCACACCCTCTGGCCTCCCAGGTTCAAGGCAATTCTCCGCTGCTCAGCTTCCTTGAGTTAGCTGGGATACAAGCACCTGCCACGCAATGGGCCCAGCCTAATTTTTAGTAGAGACCAGGAAATTTCATCATTTGGTGCCCAGCCTGGTCTCCATCCCCTTGACCGTCATGATACTGCGCGCCATCTTTGGGCCTCGCCAAAGATGGCTGGGAATTATAGGAGTGAGGCCACCGGTGGCCCCGGCCAACAAGGTCGCATTATTAACATCTATAAAGCTCAGGGAAGAGAAGGCTCTCAATCATATTTTTATTATAATTTACAGTTTTTTCCCGTCGCAGAGAAGTCTTTGAAATAGATTCCCTCCCCCTCCATGAGCCAGAGAACTTGCAATGTT